ACACAATTCTCGAAAGGTTATACAACATACTGTGTTTACAAGAGCTCAGATGGGTGCATATAAGAGTTAAAGCATCCTGCTTGAAATTCACAAAAAATTCACATTATCGCGAATTAAATGTTTTGGAATTCGTGTATAAGTTTGACACAAATAAAAACAATCATGAGTCTATGGCGGACCATAGAAAAATTCGCGTATTCTGTCTTGCTTATCACAGGCAACATCGTCAAATACAATTGTAGAATTGGTTGTGCTTCATTCCGGTTGAATAACTTCCTCATGTTCTTTCTAAAGGAAAATACTCAATACCATCAACTAGTTGAAGAGTTTTCTCTAACAAATTTTATATTTTGGTTGATTAATGATTTTGAGAAGATGTAGACATTTTCAAAGCGAAGTCCATTTGGATGTAAAAGTAAGGCGAGTAACGCATTTGTTTTTCCACAATTGGATGGTCCTACAGAATAATTGCACGTACGGTATTTGGCAGTAATTTCCATGACGCTTTCTTTCAGCCTTTTTATGTGTTACATTATCAAAATCTGTCACAGGAAGTTTTATATTTTGCGTTTTTAAACTCATCATTTGATCTGAACTGAGGTAAAAAGTATAAATACATGGGTTTTAATAGATACGTGGTCAGTTCATCGTAGGCTGCTGTGACAAGGGTGATGTTGAAATGCTTGTACGTACATATAGGTTGTTTATGTATTGGCTGCATAACCTAATGGTTGACACGTTCACGTAGATGATTATTGTATTGGCTGCATAACTTCACCACTGATAGATCTTCAAAGAGGAGAAGCGCAAAAATAGAAAACAACATTCCAGTTTTGGAGCATCAACCTGAAATGACCCAGACTGGTATAAATACCTTGCTTTTATACATTTTTCTCCTTCAGTCTTCAAAAGAATGTCAAACGATTATTATTAACATGTGTGTAAAGAAAAAATCAATCAGTTTCAAAAATATCTGTCAAACATGGAAGAGGCATTTTCAATAGAATTATACAAATGCCTATTGAATTGCATGTTCCTGGTTATCAGTATTGTGGACCTGGAACTAAATTAGCAAAACGATTGGCACGTGGTGATCCTGGTATCAATCCACTAGATCAAGCTTGCAAAGAGCACGATATTGCTTATTCTCAAAATAGAAATAACGTGAGAATAGACACGCAGCAGACAAAATACTCGCTGAAAAGCTTGGAGTCGAGTTACACGCTAGTGACGCAAAAGTTGGTGAAAAAGCAACAGCTTGGGCAATTACTAAAACGCTATGAAAATGAAAACAAAGATGGGAATGGGTTTAAAATCAAAAAAGAATAAATCTAAGAATAAGAAGAAAAGAAAAATAAAGCAACACATCCATTAAGAAATATTGTACTAGCAGCAAAAAATCTATTGTTCCTGGTAATGATACCTCATCAGCTATTAAGTCAGCTCTAAAAGGGGCACGAATAGCTGTGAAAATCGCAGGTGGAAAAAACAAAGTAAAGCAACCTCGAATTTTACCAGTACCAAAAAAGTTGGTGGTTTTTTACCATTTCTTGTGCCGATTTTCGCTGGTCTCAGTGCAGTAGGGGCTCTATCTGGTGGAGCTGCTGGAATTGCAAAAAGCCGTTAATGATGCAAAAGCAGCGAAAAAACAACTTGAAGAAAGTCAACGACATAATCAAACAATGGAGTCCATTGCTCTTGGTAAAGGGCTTTTTTTAAAGCCATACAAACAGGATTGGGATTAGAATGTTCTGCTAAAAAAAAAGCCAAAAAAATGTAAAATTACCACAACGAGCATTGACTAATTACGATTTACTTAAATATGCTAAATTGTTAAAAATTCCTAACTTTCGAGGAGTTTTCATGCGTGATAATTTACCATTTATGGACCATGTAAGAATGAAACAGCTATAGTTAATTTAGATAATAAAAATAGTGCTGGCACACATTGGGTTGCCTATAAAAAAATAAAGAATGATGTTATATATTTTGACAGTTTTGGAAACCTTCGACCACCTACGGATCTTGTAAAATATCTCAGTGTTGATAATATCAAATATAATCATAAAAGATATCAAAATTATGACACTTTTGTTTGTGGTCATTTATGTTTAAAATTTCTCTGTAATCAACTGAGTTAAAAAATGTATTTTCCCTGTTTAAATAAAGACTAGTAAAATTTTATATCTCAGTTTACATTGAACCCTCAAAATGAACGATTCATTAACCTTAACATTGTCTGGAAATTCTTCAATTTTGGAAGCACACTATTTTCTACCAATTGAATTGACTCCAAATAAAAATTATGTTCTTGGACTTGTTGAATTTCTAACCTTTAATTCGATTCCAAATGTAGATATTGGAAATAATAAATTTTACGTCGGTGATGAAGAAATCACTATACCGACAGGTAGCTACGAAATTGATGATATTCAACGCTATCTACAGCATGTTTTAAAACCAAAAGGAATTAATCTTCACATTAAACCAAATAACAACACATTAAGGAGTGAAATTTTGTGCAATAGTGACATTAATTTTAAAAAACCAAATTCTATTGCACAATTATTAGGCTTTAGGCAACAAATACTGAAAGCTGACATATTCCATCAATCTGATTTACCAGTGTCTATTATAAAGCTGAATTCATTAAGAATTGAATGTAATATTACAACAGGTGCACATATTAATCATAAAAAGGTGCACACAATTCACGAATTTTTTCCCACCTGTACCACCAGGATATAAGATAATTGAAGTACCCTCTCAAGTCATTTACTTACCAGTTGCTGTCAAGACAATAGATCATATTCAATTGCAAATCATTGACCAAGATGGGCATATTGTGAATTTTCGTGGTGAAACTATTACTATAAGATTACACATTAAGAGGTTGTAAAATAGAAGAATAAATTATGGGTATTGTATTTAATCAAAAAGTTGGCTTTGGTTATTATATTAATAATAATAACTCTGTAGGATGTCAAAAAAGATTCAGTTACAAATCTTCAGTCAAGGTGTTAACACCGCAGAACATTCAACTATTGAAGAGTCTAGGATTAAAAGTGATAGAGCAGAAAAAGCAAAAAAGAAGGTGAAAATAAAAAGATTTAAATTTGTATGCATTTGCTTTGTTGGTTTCATCTATAGACATCTAATATTCTGTAAAAAATAAAAAAAATGGAGGACGACTTGCTAAGTATTGCAAAACCAATTGTTTATGATGAATCCATTGCTCATTATGAAGTCCATGCTCATTTACCATATGCTTCATCAACATTCAATAATAGTGATGAAATTCGAATTGCTGTTCAAAATCAAGACCACTGTCTTTTACCAGGAAAAAGCTCACTTCATATACAAGGAAAATTAACAAAAGAAAATGGGACACCAGTCACCAATACTAGGCTTATCATGAACGCCATCTGTCATTTATTTGAGGAAGCTCGTTATGAGCTAAATGCTGTGGAAATTGATAAAAACAAAAATGTCGGTCTTACGAGTCTCATGAAAAATTACATTTCAATTTATGGTACTCAAAGTAAATTTTTAGAAAATGCAGGTTGGTTTCCCACATGTGATGCAAATACTCCATTAGCTGATAATAATGGTAATTTTGATATTTCAATTCCACTAAGCGTTATTTTTGGTTTTGCTGAGGATTATCAAAAAATTATTGTAAACGCGAGACATGAATTAATTTTAACAAGATCGAGAAATGATGTTAATGCAATTTTGCAAACTGCTGAGGAACTTGTGAAAATTTCCATTGATAAAATTGAATGGTTGTTACCTAATGTACGCTTATCTGATGCACGAAAATTCAAATTGCTAAAATACATTGAAAAAGATCCACTAATTCCAATTAGTTTTCAAACCTGGGAATTATATGAATATCCTCTGCTACCAACAACCGCGAATCATGTGTGGACTGTTAAAACATCAACGCAATTAGAAAAACCTCGTTTTGTAATTCTAGGCTTTCAAACAAACCGAAAAAATGTAACAACGCGAAATGCTAGTCACTTTGATCATTGTAGAATTACAAATGTTAAATTATTTTTAAACAATCAGTGCTATCCATATGGTAATCTTAACCTTGATTTAGATAAAAAACATTATGCTGTACTGTATGAAATGTATACAAACTTTCAAGCTAGTTACTATGATAAAGAATGTCAACCATATTTAACGAAAGGTGAATTTCTCGATTTTGCACCATTAATAGTAATTGACTGTTCAAAGCAAAATGAATCTCTAAAATACGGCCCTGTTGACATTCGACTTGAATTTGAAGCGAAAGAAAATTTTCCTAATCAAACATCTGCATATTGTCTCATTTTGCATGACAGAGTAGTAGAGTACAGACCAATCAGTGGTGGAGTAAAAAAAATCATTTAAAAATTACTAAAGAAAGGTAAAAAAAATTACTAAAGACAATATTACTAAAAAAAATGAAGAATATAAATAATCCTACTTTTGTCTTATTAATTCAGTAACAGTCAAGATGGATTATGTAGTAGACCTTCAAGGTTTTAAATCACCTACAAATCAATTTATTTTAAAAGAATTGGCTATAACACCGCTTGAAGAGAACATAACCAAACCCTTTAATTTTCTCTTTCAATCACCATATAAATGGATATATATATGAAACCACAATACCAAAATATTAACCGTTGGTTGGAAAAAAATTTTCATTGTCTATATTGGAATGATGTTGATATTCCTTTCGATTTATTACCAACTATTTTAAATAAAACATTAAAAAATGCACGTACAATTTATGTAAAAGGCCTAGAGAAGAAGAAATGGTTACAAGATTTATGCACTACGAAATGTAAAATAAACATTGTTGATATGGCGGACTTGAGCTGTCCATCTCTTCGACAATTAGTTTTTTTATCAGACAATATGATACCATGTAAACATCATCATTATCATAATCGATGCATTGACCTGAGAAACGTAAATTGTTCTGTACGTAATGTGATTATGTTAAATGATTGGTTATTTAAAAATTTATTAAACAAGAAAAAAAATGAGTCCGATTATTGGATCTCTATGAGTTACAAAAAAATCACAGCAATTTAATTCTATCCGTCGCTTGTAGTTATTTTATTGTAGTGTGTGTGTGTGTGTAAATTTTTGTAATATAAAACTGCTTTATAATTATTCTGATTAACATTTTATTAGATGGTAAGATTTTTTTTAAGACAAATGTATTTTTTTTTAATTAAGAGAAAGAAAGAAGAAAATTTACTTTCCTTGTGTACTTAAATATATACATAACATAATTACTATTAATTTAAATAATGTTCTAATTTTTTAAAATAAATACTTGAAAAAATGTAAAATTTATATGTATTTTTTATTCTATTACCTTAACCAAAAAAAAAAATGAAAAAAATTTAAAAAGAAATGGTGAAAATATAAAGGTTTTAAAAGCTCAATGCAGTTTGTAGGTGCTCAGAAGTGGTGATGAGCGGGCAGGGTCACCGCAGGTGGTGAGGAAGCGGGGGACGAACGTAAGAGGCAAAGCATTGCCTTGAGAGGAGAGCGGAGTGACGGGGTGGCCAAAGAAGCTGAGGAAGCGAAGGACGGACGAAGAGAGTCAAGCGCTGCCTGTAACAGTGAAGAGGATATACGAAGACGGCCTAGCATAGAAAGAACGTGCATCACAGTACACTGTGAGGGGAGAATTTTTATGTGACATTTTTACGATCACATTTGAATTAGACCATTTTACTGCTGACTTAACGACTAGACGATTAGAGTAAACCACAAACATATTTAAAAAAAATAATTATTTTTCAACTTGTTTAATTGTTATATAAAAAATTATTTAATTAAAAATTTTTCTTTTATTTATACATTAATTATTATGTTTTTTTAAATTTCATCAATTTTTTTTATTATTCTTGCATGCTTTATGTAAAAAATATTAAAAATTATTTACTATTATTTTTTTAATATAATTCTTTTTCAAAGATATTAATTTATTAGCTGAAATTTTTTTCTTATTAACATTTTTTTACAAACTTAATTTAATTTAAAAAGAAAAATTTATATCCACTTACCTTGAATGAAATGCGAATTAGTAGTCATGTTAAATAATGTTTTTTTTTAATTTAAGTAGATTTGTTATTATTATTATTTATATATAATTTGTAGTATAATTTTTTTTAATATAAATAGATTTTCTTTTAATTTTTCTAATTTAAAAAGGATTAAGATCACGCATAATATTAAATTGGGTAAATGGAAAACAAAATTTTGAAACATTAAGAAAAAGATGATTTAAAACAAATTATCAGATTTATCTGTTAAAATTATAAATAACAAAAGTTATTTAGAAATTTTACATATAAATTCTAATTATTTGTTGAATTATTATCATCATCTTTTTCTGATAAAATTTTTTGTTACAATTTGTTCTTTATTTGTGCACAATTTTACAATTTTTGCAAAATTTTACAATTTTTGACATTTTTTAATTTGTAAAAAGAAATTTTTTTTAAGATCAAACATTTAATGAAATTTTTTTTAAAAGAAAGACATAATGTCAACTAATAAGAATTAATTTTTTCAAAACTGTAAACGCCGCCGACAAAGACTAATTTTGCAGTTATGTCTGCAAGTACAGTTACAACATTTACTGTTGATCCTTCTGCAGAAAGCATTTCAGTGGCATGGTACACCTCAATAGCGTTAAGACACAGCGTCATCAGCGAATCATAGGTAACTTCTAGGACCCACTCTATGGGTACAGATATCTCGTGGTTAATCATGACGTACTCCATGCTGTGAATATAAAAAAAACAGATCTAAGACAAAAATTATACTTTTTCTTTAATTTGTATAATTATTTTTTAAAAGATTAGTGTAAAAATGAATTGAAAAAATATTTTAATTTAAAACTTACTCTGTATCTTGGAGAGGACTGTAATTAATTGGTTCGTCTCCAGCCATCTTCTTCTTCTTCTTTTTCTAGTTGTACCTAAGCATAAAAAATTTATTGAAAAATACAATTCAATTTTAAATTACTTTTCCTTTATGATTATTCTTGCGTCACACACAGTTATAGAGAAAACACTATTTTGACAATTAAGTACTTAAATTATAGCAAAAAATTCATATCTCACTATTTTGATAAATTTGTTTGAGATTGATATTAGCTGATCTCACCTTTGTATTTTTGTACAAGAGATAAATATTCTTCATTTATGTACAAAAATACAAAGGTGATATCAGCAAAACATCAATCTATTTAAAAAGTAATAAAACATCTTTAATTTTTTTGTAATACTTTAAGTATTTAGTTGTAAAGCAAATAGATTTTTCTATAACACAGAATCAAGTATAATCAAAATTTTTTTTTTTTTAGAAAAAGTAATTAAATTGGATTGTATTTTAATAAATTTTTATGCTTACTGGAATAAGTTTTGTATCTTCTTCTTCTTCTTCTTCTTCTTCTTCTTCTTCTTCTTCGCTTTTCACCACCACCACAGACACCAACACTGATAAATTCCTAAGCATAAGATTTGTTAAAAAAATACAATTCAACTTTATTTATTGTTTCTAAAATAATTAATATTATGTCACAGTTATATGTAAACAATTAAAACTAAATTTATTCATTGAATATTTAAAATTGGTCGAAAGCAACATCGACTCTGCGCATTCAAATATGCACCTTTCTTGGTGAGCTCTATTTAAAAGCGCAGAGTCGATGCTGCTGACAAACAATTTAGAAAAAAAATTATTTTTAATTGTTTCCGTATTAATGAGGCACAGTATTAATTATTGTTGAATATCAATAAATTAATTTAACCGAATTCTTAACTAATCTTATGCTTACACTTTACTTTTGAGACTTTTTTTTCTTCTTCTTCCTACAAGATCTTCCTTCAAACTGGAGTACCAAAATGAGAGAAGTAGGGCTCATTTGACTAAGTGGGGATTATACCCCCAAAAAAGCTTTTGTATTGTTTCTACCTTTGATGAATGAAAACCAAGTCGAGAAAATTCTACGTAGAATTTCACAGAAATATATTGAAGAAGTAGGGATTGTAATTAACGCTTTAAAGTTATGGGAATTGTGTGATGTCAAAAATATAAATCACAGTTCTAATTTATATTTTACGAGCATGTTTAGTTTTATTTCTTTTCATAGCCCCACGGATATGTATCGGTATTTGAGGGTGCTAACACACGCTTATCGTCTTTCCAGCTTAGAACAATCTTTCTTTGTTTTATAGTTCGAACTTTATGCTTACAGCTTCGAATCGAAAATTGAGTTTTAATCAAATTTTGATGGAAATTTAGAGAATGCTTATAGTCATTAAATGTTATTGTTTTTAGTGTACTTTTTTTTACACCTTTAGCTTTCTTATTTTCCGAATTCAATTGAAAAATTTTAAATGCATACAATTTTGAACGTAAACCTATAAATTCTTCAATAATTTTTCCACAACATTCATCTTTCATTAAACCTAAAACTTTTTTATTACAGAGTGGTAGACCGTAAACATTATTTGGTGGATAGTCAGAGGTGTCAAATTTCTCAATATTTTGCTTCATACATTGATAGAAATCAGGAACTTGAATTTCATATATCAAACTGTCAGTATCAGTGTAAAGCAATTTTACCTTATCACCAAAATTTTTTTTTATATAATTATAATGAAAATCGTATGTAATAATTTTTGAAATATCTAAAACAGTTAAACCTGCATATATTGGTTTATTAAACGTAATTTTCAATTTATTCATTTCAATAATAACCATATCTTCATCAAATACGGTGCAACTATGAAAATTTGGTTTACCAATAAGTGATCTCGCACCATAACGCCCTTCCCATTTTGTAACCAAACGAACATCTTTATATTTTCGAACATTTTCCATAGTTTTACCAAAAACTGAATTATTCATTAATTTATAAAAATTTTTTTCAAACTCGTTAGTGGATTTTTTTCTCATTTCAGTGTTTAAATCAATGTAACTCTTTAACCAAGGCTTTTGTTTAAATTGAAGAACTCTATGAATTTTTACTAATTTCATACCTAAATCCAAGTATAATTTTAAATTTCTATAGTGTAAAATGTACTGCTTTTTATGATAAAGAGTTGTCATTAATTTCGGAATTTTACACTTTGAATTGGGTGGTACAAAGTGTTGTGGACAAAGAGGTAAATCCTTATGTAAATCATGTAATTCAACAGGATATTCTAAATCAACTTCAAGAATATATCCAATTAATGACTCATCAGATATATTTTTAAAATCGATTTTTGAAAAATCCTGTACCCATATAAATTCTTTATAAGGTAAAAATTCACTCATAGCTGCACCGTATTGATTATTAATATCAAAGTACATAATGTATTTTTCTGGTA